CCCCCCATCAGGGCAGTGCTACTGACTGAAGTCGTCTTTAGACCATTCCCAAAGGGGGGATATTAACATGTTCTTATACAGAGTAAAATTGTAAATGGGCTGATTTATCAATGTCATGCTCATACTGTGCCGGAACAATGGACTGGTGGAAAGTGTCAGAACTCTACCATTGTCATTGGGATGAAACGGCTGAGTCATTTAGTGGGTGGTTGGTGGGTGCTCTGGTGTGGTTTGCTCGTTCTGTCCCTATCAAACATCGTTCTTCCTTAGCTGTCCTTCTTTTATTGTGTTTGTTACTGTCCAGTAACACATCCAATCTTCGGTACTTATATGACCTGATTGTGCTTCTAGTGCCATACAAAGCTTTCTAAAAGTAAAGAAGTTATTTGTTCCGATGATTTTGAGTAAATCGATTTTGTCTTTAATTTAAGGATGGTTTATGGGTTAGCGCCATTCTGATTCCATATTTGAATGAACTGAGCCAAGTTAGCTCAGTTGCTATCATGCTGGACTAGAAGACAGATGGCCGTGGTTCGAGTCGTAGACTGGGTATTCTAAAAATTTGGGTTGTTTTGTGTCTTTTTCAAATCCTTCCCCCCCACCCCTACCCCAAACCCCTTGTGATGGTTGGCGGGTGCTCTAATGTGCTTTGCTCCTTCTTTCCTACCAAACAACTATCGTCCTGATCTCTCCTTCTTTTTTGTGTTTGTTACTCTCTTGTAACACCTCTAATCTTCGGCACTTCTATGACCTTATTGTGTTGCAAGTGCTTTAATACTCTTTCTAAAACTAAAAACAAACTTTCAACATGTATCCTAACCAATTGTGTTGCAAGTTCCATAAAATTTACTGAAACCCCCCTACTCTCTCTCTTACTTTCTTCTAGATAATGGCCGGTGACGATAAGGGCAGTTGCCACTAGAAGGAAGTCCTCCCCGCAGACTGCTGCTCATGCTGACAGACTGAACTGCCAGTAGGTCTGCTCTGACTCCGCAGGTCGGTCTGTGTGAACGACAGCAACAGCAACAACAACAGCAACTACAACAACCACAGCTACAACAACAACCACCACAACAGCAACAGCAACCGCAACAACAGCTACAACAACAGCAACAACAACAACCACAACGACAACAACCGCAACAACAACAACAACAACAGCTACATCAACAACAGCAACAACAATAACAAACAACAACAACAACATGTCGGGCCCGACGTCCACACCGGCCCCATTTCACAGCAACAGCAGCGTCCAGTGTAACGACCAGGGCAACAAGACGGTGTTCCTCTACGACAAGTACAACGGCATCCCAGACACGCTCATCATCAACGTGGTCGCTTTTGTGGTGAGTCTACGGGGGAGGAAGGTTTTGTTTTGTTTTGTTGTTTTTTTGTTAGGGTTTTTTTTTTTAGGGGGGGGGGTAAGCGAAGGATTGTTTGGGTATTTGTTTGTTTGTTCCTGTTTGTTTTTATCTTTGTTTTGTGTGTGTGTGTGTGTGTGTGTGTGTGTGTGTGTCGTATGTGTGTGTATGTGTGTGTGTGTGTGTAAGGGGAGGGGAAGGGTGTTTCAGTGTGTGGGGTGTGTGTGTTTCTGTGTGTATATGTGTGTGTGTGTGTGTGTGTGTGTGTATGTGTGTGTGTGTGTGTGTCGTATGTGTGTGTATGTGTGTGTGTAAGGGGAGGGGAAGGGTGTTTCAGTGTGTGGGGTGTGTGTGTTTCTGTGTGTATATGTGTGTGTGTGTGTGTGTGTGTGTGTATGTGTGTGTGTGTGTGTGTCGTATGTGTGTGTATGTGTGTGTGTAAGGGGAGGGGAAGGGTGTTTCAGTGTGTGGGGTGT